ATGCTATATTTAATAGAAATAATATTTTATTTAATGAACAGAAAGCTTCGTTTAATAAATAGAATATTATGTTTAATAAACAGAATGTTTTGTTTAATAAACGAAATGGTTTGTTTAATGACTGGGATGCTTTGTATAATAAACACAATGATTTGTTTAATAAACATAATGCTTTATTTAATAAAAAGAATGCTTTCTTTAATAAATAGAAAGCTTAGTTTAATAAACAAACTGTTTGTTTAATAAAAAGCATGGTTTGTTTAACAATCAAAATGCTTAATTTAGAAAATGGAATGCTTTGTTTAATAAGCAGAATGCTTTGTTTAGTAAACAGAATGCTTTGTTTAATAAATAAAAAACTTTGCTTAATAAACATAATGTTTTCAAGAATTAAACTGAAAGGTCTTCTAATGAACATCGTTACTAAAGTGATACGTATCATTAGAGAACTATATATATTCGAAGATCAAACTTTTTTTAATATTTTCTAGAACAACGTGACCTTTGGTCAGGTACATTTTTAAACTTATAATGTGAGTTCGTTTAAGACAGTTATTACTGTATTATTATTATGTATTTTATTGTATTATTCTTAACTCGTTATAATATCTTTTATTAGCTGTTAACATAAGAAATAACTGTTTTAAATTTGCAGTGGCGCTGAGGTAAGTGTTCGTGAGCTCACCTCACTTAATTTCATATATATACACATAAATATATTTCTAAAAAATTTGTTCAAAAACATACTTATATGGCTTTTATAACTGTTTATACATATTTTCATATATAAGTATATATTAACTCAAAACAAGATTATTGTTGGCATTTCATTAGTCAGAATAGAATCTAAAATGTTTTTTAATACAAAACAATGTCTTTTTTTTGTGTATAGTAATACACACCTGGTCGTATAAAAATATATGAGATATGAAATGAATATATAAATATAAGTGATATATGTTAAAGCAGTGCTCTTTAGTAAACATAAACACTGTATTACATAAAATTTAATTTACAAGAATACTTTTCTTCTTTATGTTTGCTACTCTAAAATGTGTTTATTTATTATTAATAATAATAAAATGTGTTTAATCAAACGCGAATAAAATTGTTAAATATGAATAAAAACTTTAGACTTGAATAGTTCGCGTTGCTGAGCGAACACTGTATATTATTTAGAATATCGAATTATATTTGATGACTGCCTCTTTATCAGTGACTCCGTGCACAAATATTTCACATTGAAAATGAATGCATGAAACGCATACTGAACAATAATTGTTATAAAAAATACTGTATATATTTATTTGTGAATATAAAACGTAATGCACTTCCTATGCATTTTTATGGCACTCACCTCTAAAATACAATCGCCGGCCTTTAAGCCACATACTTTCGCTGGAGTGCCGATGTCGACAGCGCTTACCTAAGGTCACAAAATGAAAGTTTTTAATTCCAAAAAAAAATAACAAGAAAAATAAATTTAGTAAAATCACTTTTATTATATATATATTTTTTTTTTAACTGATTTTTTTTAAAATTTTTAAAAACATGCTAATAGCAAAATTATGTGTGAATCACTTAAAAAATTAAGACTATGACACACCCATGGATATGGATCCCATTTACTGCGCGTTAAACGAAACCCGCAAGCACCGTTTTCTGATTTTGGAATTTTCAATAGACGCACTGTGGGTTTAGTATCTTCTTCGGTACTTGTATTTTTTGGTACAAAGCAATCGGTTTGTTTGTAATGCCCTTCGATTGTAAAATCGGAACTAGCACATGAACTTTTTCGACTCATATTGTATGCAATTATTCCATGCGATTATATATAATTTAATTAATGATTATTTTTCTTTAAGATTTAAAAATATTTTAAATTTAATATTACTAATATTTTTTTTATTTTTTTTTATATATATTTTTTTATATTTCTTCTATTTTTTTATTTTTATTATTATTTAAAATTTAAGTTAGTGCCCTTAGTAACTACAAATGATTATAATTTTGGCCACTTTTATTGGGTTTTGGTTAGCAAACTCATTTATTCCACTTTTGATTTATCGTTACTAATTTGCTTATATTGAATTTTTTATTAATTAATTTGCATACTTTATGCTTAATTATAAACTTTTTTACATTTGGTTTATGCAAATATGAACTTTAAAAAATTTTATGCTATTTTTTATATATATTTTTTTTAGTATCTTTGGCTCTCGTCCGTATAGCGTGTTGAAGTCGCGCTTACAAATTTTCGACTAAGCCAATATTTTCTATTTTTTCTTGACTGATTTCGAATCGTTTTTCTGTCTGCTAACTTGTCTATTTCAGTTTTTCATTTGCCGCGACGACTGCTGTTCTTCTTGTTGTTGTTGTGGCTGGTATTATTGTTGGTATGATCATTGAATTTGTTGCTCTTATTAAAGTTATTAACTGTTCCCTATCAACTGTTCACTGTTCAGTGATCACTGATCACTGATCAGTGATCAGCGATTAGTGTTCTCTGTCAATAGTCAATAGCGTACCTTGTACGTATTCATTATTGCTTAACCGACGATGTATCTGATAGATACATGTGCTTTTGTTAGTTACTAAAGATACTTTTGTATTTCATAATTTCGTCATACAAAATGGTTTCGCTTGTGTTGTTGTTTGTTATCAATTAACAGATTGAACTTCTGGTTGAATACTTGTTTCATCTATAAAAGATGCGATATTTTTGTTTATATATTCTATTCAGTATTATTAGTTGAATAAACAAATTAACCAAATTATTTAAAAAAAAGAAAAAGGGGTCAACGGAGCAAAGTTTTTTTTCCCAAATTCCAGTTAAAAGTGTTAATCAGTTTGATATAAGCAAATTATAGGAAATATACGAGTAGACCGAATAATATTTTTATATAAAAATTTAATATAAAAACAATAAAAAAAGAGATGAAATTAATGAATCATTTAAAATTTATTTACTAACAAATTCTCTATTAGAGATATAATTATCGATGAAGACATTTTAGTTTTTTTATCTTTAATGATAGTTTAATGACTTGAGATAATTTTTTGTAAGCATGCTTCCCAGACATTTGAAGGACAGATTTTTGTATATTTGTTATTATTTAATGAATTTCCTAAATTTAACAGAGTTCCAGAATAATAATTAAGTGAAATGGGCTATTAAACTTCCTTTTTAGGGTGAGATGTTGAGTGAAATGATATTTTATATCATATCATAGCTAATATTATATGATATGATATTTTATATATCGCATCAAACCAATGCAGTATCTCTTAAACATTAAAAATTACTTAATGCTTAGTTGATAGAAGTAATACCCAGTAATATTTTATATATCGCACCAATCCAATGCAGTATCTCTTAAGCATTAAAAATTACTTAATGCTTAATTAATAGAAGTAATACCCAGCACAGTCGATCCTATGCAACAAGATTTCCTATGTGAACTGAATCATCTTCTCAGTTAGCTAAGGTGCTACGAAATCTTTGGTAAGCGCTACGGTTACAACCAGTTCCAGAATGCCAAGTTTCTCTTAAGGCAGCTAAAGTTCGAAAATGCCGAGTTTATCTTAAAGAGCTGGCTAGGCCTGTCACTGTTCAACAGATGTGGGTATTTAGACACAGAAACATTTGCGGCAACTTTAAGGGAGATTAGCTTGCCAAAACAAACACTCTGCTTTCTGACATTCATTACTCGGTTATCGGTATTTGATTACTCGACAGCAAAATCGGCTTGGGCCAAACTGGACAATAAACGTACCAGTCAGCTGCTTAAACTTAAGGGAAACTTGCTTAGCAGTGGAGGAGCAGTGCTGAGAGGTTGGTTACAGGTCTGAGAAAGGTTAGAGTGTTATGAAATTAAGTCTATAGCATAATGATTTTTGCTGTAGCTTTAAATAGGTGAAAGAATCTCAACTTCTTCATTGATGCTCATATATAAGCGAAGAGATAATTAAATATTTTTTGAATTTTTTTATATCGACCTGACAGAGCAATAATTCTATTAAATTATAGATTTGATGACTATCTAGACTTGAGAGATTGGAGTTGTGTTTTTCAGCGTCCCTGATAGTACAACTGGCCAAAATTTAAGCTCAAGTAGATTTTGATTCACAATACCGTCACTCCAGCCTAACGTAAACAATATCTGATTTGATCTTTTTACAAGAAATGGTATGTTAGCTAATTCTACCTACATCTGTAATACAATCGAACTGCTCAGGAAATTGAAAACGGAGTATACTTTTTATTTACGTAAGCTATGACCTTAAACTTGATATCTTGAGTATTGAGCTATATCGGCATACAATGTAGCTTCACTCCAGCCTAATGTAAACAATATCTGATTTGATCTTTTTACAAGAAATGGTATGTTAGCTAATTCTACCTACATCTGTAATACAATCGAACTGCTCAGGAAATTGAAAACGGAGTATACTTTTTATTTACGTAAGCTATGACCTTAAACTTGATATCTTGAGTATTGAGCTATATCGGCATACAATGTAGCTTAGCCAAAATAGCTGACCCTATTAAAATACTTTGTTAAATCATAGTGGTCTGAACATCAAAATTGCGCTGATTCAGTTTATTTTTTTTGACAGGAGACCTCTATTACGATGTGGACTGATTTATGATTGAAAGGAATCCTTCATTTTGAAGTGGTTAGCTTCGTAAATGAACATTTCCTACTTTGACTATTGTTTGGTTTCCGTTAAGGATATATGTATTTATGATTATAAGTGGATAGATTATTAAAGGACTCCTCAAATTTTAATAAAAAGATTTAGAGTAGTAGTAGCATTTTCTTGTAAGTTTATCTAATACGCATAGTATTTCTATATAAATGTGTTCCATCGGAAAATAATTTGGTTGTCAAACTGTTAACTGATGAGACTTTTATAACATTTGTTAACTGATTGCTTAAATAGTTAACTTCCTTGAATTTGATTTCATTATTAGTACATGTGAATCAAGAATGAGAAGCAATATTAACTTACACTATATTGTCTAAGTAGTAATCATGATGACCATTTAAGTGATTTATACAGCGACTACTACTAAGGTTGCGCTTTTTTAATGTCCAGTACTCACCAGAAGGCATCTATTAACAATAGTTTCTGATTTTTTTAGTGCTACTACTAAGGTTGCGATATTTTAATGTACAGTACTGACCAGAAGGCATCTATCAACATTAGAGTGTGACTTTTTTAAGTGCTTTTTCGGCATATCCAATCCGTACATAATATTTGTTTGATCACGTTGGCTTTGCGGTCAAGTCTAGTAATACTATATCTGTGTTCAAATTCCTCAATAAGTAAGCCATCTAAAAGATTGGCTGTTATTTGCATCTATTTATAAATCTATTCATAATATTTGTGTCTGAAATTTTATTGAAAAATATCTGAATTACTATAGTAACAATTTAAATAATAGAAGAATTTTCATATTCTTTTGTTAGTTGGAAAATGATTACAAATAAGTTATATTTACTTTATTTACACTAATGTAACAAAACTTTCAACTCCCACTGTTGACTTACAAATATTTGGTTATTAACAATAAGTTTTCAAACAATTTATTATTAAATTATAAATAAATAAATAAATAAATTCTATTGCAAAATTGCTGAATTAAAATTTTATAAGATTTCTGTTAATTGATTTTATTTGATTATTAAGAAATCTACACTTTTTGCAAAATTACGCAAATATCAAATATTTTTGTTTATGCATTGAAGTGTTTGAAATTGAAATTTGAGCATTTGAGTAGCTGACTAGCTGAGTATCTGAATATCTGAGTATCCGAACATTTGAAGAATTGCTACTGTTATTGTTATTTATTGGCCCGAATGGTGAAGAGTTCAGCGCACCCTCATGCGCCCATAGCTTCTGGCATTGAGCTGAGCTATTGACTTTCGGTTTCAACCAAAAATTCAATTTAAACTTCAAATTACGACTACGAAAGCAGCAAAATCATTTTATTTTGTAATGTTTTCTAGCATAAATGCAAGTATTTAATTAATTATTTATTGTTTGCTTAATTTTAAATTCATTTGGCCTAAACACAGAAGTCATTCACAGTTAAGTTAACACGATTTTAATTAATATTAATTGTTGCTGCAGCTACTTTTTTCAGCTTTGGATTTTAATTGAAAATGGCAAAGACCAGAAGTGAAAAAACCTTTGTGTATTTTGCGTACCACAGTTGACTGCCAGAGTTCAACACCCACTCAAAATAGTTATTTTCAAAATATTATAAAAAATTTATTTAAATAAATAATATTATTTCAAAGGCTATTGACCAATAAAACTAATGTACTTCAGACATTACGGGCACTTAAGGTTTTGAGTTTCGTAAACTCATATGTGGTAAGTTGTCATGTCATAATGAATAATTTTCAGAAATGATTGTTAGATTATTTGAACTTGAACTGTTTAGATATTATTACGTAGCGAAGAAAGTTACTTTGGTTTTATAGGTAGAAAGAGGTAGCTTTGATAGGTAGAATTAAAATATGTATTTAAAATTACATTATAACATCAAACTACCTCATACTTCGTCACATCTCCGACTGCCTATACGGCTTACACACACGACTATCATAAATCTGTATTATCCACAGTTAGTAAATCAGTAATCAGTAAGTGATTCTATAGATGTTTCGTTCACGCTAGAGTTTTGATAACTGAACCACAGTTCAACTAGCCTGGAATAGGGGTAGTCCCACTATCTGAAGGCAAGGAATTAGTCTATGGCTTTGGAAAATTGTTGCTTTCTCGCTGCTTTTGGAGTGAAATTATTCTGTGTCTTGGGAAAAGGTAATTTCTCTTTTAC